TTTTTACTCAGCTTCATACTGTAAATAGTATACTCCTGTGACATGTGTTAATATGACTCACTGATCTCTTACAAAACTTTCTCTATTATGGTAAATTGAGGCATGATCAAGAGAATTCTAAATGAAGAACCTGGTTCATCAGTACTGGTTCATCTGAATGCCAAGGTATGTTTTCTATACTCTGCACAATCAGAAATATAAATATTTAAATCATGAGCAGAGTCCTACCATTGTTCAACTCATTAGAAAATCCTATCCGTTTGTTTTTGAACCAGTTCCGTCCTTATTAGAATTCTAACCACAAAAATTGCCTAAAATCTAGGGAAGTCTAACTGTTCGTTCAACCTGCAATTTCAGGTTGATTAGACCTCTAATTGACTTCTAAAGCTACCGTTATCCATTAAATTAGTCTTTCTCTTTAAATACTCATCATTACTTCCTGCCATCCTCATAATTCAAAACCGTCAAAAACCTTCTTCACTCTCAATTGCTTTCTTCTCCAAAGGTTTAACTCACAAATTCTCTTAAGCAATAAGCTACAATGACGAACCCACAAGACAACCCTGGAACTCCTCCACAGCCTACTCCCTCTGATTCATCTACCCCTCCTCCACCTAGCACGACTCCCCAACCCAGGTGAAGGAGAGTAAAAATGCTTGCTCGCAAAACGGTGGCATCTGGTGCTCTTACAAAGAAATTGAATGAGAAATTAAAGGCAAGTCAGGTCCAAGATTCTGATTCTGACTCTGAGTCTGATTCGTTCAAATCTGCTAGTGAGGGGGGAAGGACCTGGGTCTTCTGACTCTGAGAATGCTCAAAAATCCCCTTCTAAGGTAAGTTCTTCTTTGACTGAAAATTTAGAAAATAGGTTTGTTTTGGTTGGACCTATAAGGGATGTGGAATTACCTGAGTTAGGAAGGTATGGAGGTAAAAAGCAATTTGAAAAAGAAAAAAAGAGAGAGGGTGAATGTGGTGACGTGAGGGGAAAAGGGAAAGGAGTGGTTGATCATTCACCCACTATTGAATTGCTTGTACCTGCTATTTGTGGGGTTGCACAGGAAACTGTTGACGAAAGTAGCAAGAAGTCAGGGGGAAGCGGTTCAGCGGAGGCTGCTGAGGGGCTAGTTATTCTAAGCTCACAGGGAGATGAACCTGGTTCATCAACTGAAGAGACCCTAGCAGACCTTCTGATAAAGGTAGGTGCAAGTTACGATCCAAAGAAAAGAAGAACTCCTACACCAAAACCCCTCAGTGCTGCTAAACCTTCTAAGAAACGAAAGGCTTCCTCCCCAACACCTACTGAAACTACCTTGCCAAAGGGGTGAGCAACAAGAAGCAGGGTGAAACAGAGTGAGAGAGACCTACAACAGGCTTTGGCTGAAAGTAAGAAGAAAAGGATGGATAAAGGAAAAGGTAAGGTTGCAGAGTCCTTTGAAGCAGTTGATGTTGAGGAGATGGAACAGGTCCATCAGTAGGACCATGCAACAATGGAGGTTCAGACCCCAAGCCCAAAAAGACTAAGACTTCTTCCAAGAAGTCTTCCTCTGTGTCTGAGGCTGCTGAACCTTCACTGGCCAAGAGGACAAGGTCTGCAGTAAAAAGCAAACAAGTTAGAGTTTCTGAAGATGAGGAATGGAGTGGTGAAGAAGAAAAGATTGCTGAAAGATTTGGTGGAACAGGAATGGTTCGTTTGGTTGACACCCTAGCTGCTCAGGGCTGGAAGGACATGGCCCTTCAGATGGATGGGAGATTGGCCAGAAATGAAATCATTGAATTCATGCCAAATGCTAAAGTAAAAAATGGTAGAGTTACAAGCAAAGTCAAAGGAGTTCAAGTGACATTTGATGCAGAGAAGCTAGGAGAGATTCTAGACATCCATGCTGAGGGATATGATGATTACACCAGACAGAGATGACCAAGTCTGGATTCCCTTCCGTCTGCCCTAACAATCACTAGGAGATTCTGTGATGTTGCAGAAGTGAATGAGGCCAAGTTTGTGAACACGAGTGAAATGAAGCCACAGCACAAAGTCATTTTTGAGTTTGTCAACAAGTGCCTACTACCCAGGCAGGAGAGAAGGCATATTCCAAATTATATGGACTTAGTTCTGATGGAGTGCCTTGAAAGTGATAGGCAAATTAACTGGCCTGCATTCATCATCAAGCTATTGGACAGGGTTATCAATGGTTCTAAGGCTTATCCTACCCCCTATGGCTTTATTCTGACTACGGTTCTGGATAGGTGCAATGTGCCTCTAAAGAAATGGGAAATGGCCACAAGCAAGGATTACTTTGGTATTAATACTTTGCTTGCTTGTGACTATTTAGTCAATGCCATTCCAAATGAACCTGGTTCATCCAAGAAGACACCTATCAACAGTAAAGTCAGGGCTCTTGTTCAGGAAAGTGAGGCCAAGGATGCTGAGATAGCTAGCTAAAGGCTCGTGTGGCAGAGGTGGAAACTGAGAGGGATGCTCTCTGAACTGAGCTTACCAAGGAAAAGGAGAAGAATGATGGAATTCTTCACAATATGCTGAATCTTCTCCAAGCCCAAAACCAACCCTCTAGCTCCCCCAAGCCTCAGGAATTCTAGCCTTTTTCTCCTGAACCTGTCTATTACCTTCAATGACCCGGATTAGGGATTTTTCTTTCTTTTTGCTCATGTTTTGAATATTTTTGCTTTCTGGTTGTGGATTGTGGTAGCAACATATCTTCTATCAATGATATCTACTGATTTTGCTCTCGTTGAATGTTAATATTTCCTTGATAGATTAAATATGTTTGCTTGATTACTGATGATTAATCCATGATTGCACTTGCAGTTGCCTCAGTGGCCATGAGTACTTATTAAAATCTGGGACTCACACTTTGTGTATGCAACTTTTCGATGATGCCAAAAGGGGGAAGAGATTGTGCTTTACATATTCTGAATAAGTGATATTTATAACCTAATTAACCTGGTCCTTGATGATAAGTAAATTTTCTAAACTTTGTATTGATGGTTAAGCTGAGTTCTTACAGGGTCTAAGGGAGTAAAAAGCACAGAGTTTGTCATCATCAAAAAGGGGAAATTTGTTGGCCCAAGTAAATGTGAAGTTTTGAAGACTGACAAAAGAACTCAGACATGGACCAGTCCATCCTGTGAAGCATAGTCATGATCAACTCAAACATGTGAGATGCACGTGAAGGAGATAAATCTAACTTATCAGAAGTAATATCTCCTTAGCTGATCGAAAAGGTTGCATATTAGATAAGAAGAGAAAGACTCCTTACACGAAGAGAACACAGTTTAGGAAGAGGATAGTGTTAGAGTATGAGATCAACTAGAACTCTTCTACCATAGAAGAGTAGCGTCTGTATCCCAGTCAATCTCTAATTACTAACTCCTTAAATATAAGTGTTGTTCTCTTTTACAGGTAATGCACATAAGCAGAAGTTAAACGTGAATTGAGAGCAAAATAGCAACGCAATTTTACAAGCAATTTATGTGTGATTCAAGCGTGCAATCCTGAAGCTACTTGAACCAGATAGAAGAACCAGTTCCACGTGTCTATCTTTTATTCTAGTTCAACTTTAGCAGGTGATTTTATATTGTACCTTTCAGCTTTTATAGAAGCAATTGTATTAGGTACTTAGAGTGTTCATGTTAGAGTTAACTTGAAGTTGTCGCAACAGTTGAGGCTGTGTGCCACAACAAGATTAGAGTTAATCCTAGGTTTACAAAAGAGTTTTTGTAAATGCAGTTTTTGGCTCAATGATTTTATTGGAAGTTTGGGAAAATCCTACTGAGTAGTAGGTCGTGGTTTTTTCACCTTTTGAGCCAGGTGTTTTCCACATAAAAATCTCTGTGATCTTTATTTTCTTTACTTATTATTCCGCAAACAGTAGTAGTTGGAAACCATAGAAGAACCAGGTCCTTCTATAATCAAGTTAAGCGAAAATTCGGTACCACACAAATCACCCCCCTCTTGTGTGGTATTGAAGTATAAAATATCAGATCACAAAGCGACATCCATCACATTCCTTCTTACGTCGAAAATGCGACAATTTTTCGCAATTGCGAACATTGAACACTTTGCAAATGCGACCGCCTTGATCGCAAATGCCAACTAGCTTAGCCCAGGTCCACATCGTGAAAGCGAACAATTTGTTCACTAATGTGAAACTGACAGTCCCCAATATTTTTCGCAAATACGCCCTCCCACCTCGCAAATGCGACAGCGCAAATGTGAGACCTGCAACACCTTTTCAAAACCAGCAATACAAAACTCTTCCAACACCCCGAAACCCGTCCGAAACTCACTCGAGCCCCCGGTTCTCCAAACCAAACATCAACACAAGTCTAAAAATACCATAAAAACTTGCTCTCACGATCAAAACATCAAAATAATGCCCGGAACTACGAAACGGACGTCAAAACACATGAAATTAACAATGAAACTCAAAAGCTTCTAAAAACACAACCACACATCTGATTCCCATCAAATCAACTCGGAATGACGCCAAACTTTACGAATATGTTCCAATTAACAAAACAGACCTATTTCAAGTCCCGAAACCAAAATCCGAACCCGTTAGCCATAAAGTCAAACCATAGTCAAACCTAAAAATTTCTAAACCTTCAAATTGCCAACTTTCAGCGAAATATGCCAAATCAACCTAGGGACCTCCGAATTAAATTTCGGGCATACGCTTAAGTCCAAGATCACTATGCGAACCTATCGGATCTTTCAAAATACTGTTCCGAGTCGTTTTCACAAAAGTCAAACCTCGGTCAACATTTCCAACTTAAGCTTCTAGAATGAGAACCACTCATCCAAATCAATCCCTAAACATCTGAAAATCGAATTCGACCATACATGCAAGTCATAACACACAATATGAAGCCACTCAAGATCTCAAACCACTGTACGGAACGCTAATGCTTAAAACAGCCGGTCTGGTCGTTACAAGTAAATGTTTAATGAAACATACAAGTATTGTGGACTAGCCAGACAGGTATTTTTATCAAAATCCATCATTATTCCTGAATAGAGTCACGCACTTGGTTTTCTTCATTATTTCATACAAATAATTAACTGAAGATAAGAAAACAAGGAAAGCATTAAAATTACATGGAAATACAATTGCTTAACAGATATTGTAGAATATTCTGTTGCAATTAGAAACCAATGTACTATATGCACCTATATTCCACAACGATTATTAATCGCATCTACAGTACTATCAAAAACACACCAGCAACAAATCCAGCAATCCTTGCACTCACTGTCAGAAGTACATAGTCTTCCACAAGTCCACTCAAGATCAAGCTGTGGGAGTAGTCTCTTCTTGAGTCCTGAGAGATTGTAATCTACATCTCGTGCAGACAAAACTTGTGTTTTTGAGAGCCATGATACATTGACTGAAACATTCACCAACATCATAATGAGAATCAAGTTACGTTAAGATCAGTATAACATGAAAAAACAAATATTCAAACATCAATGTAGAATACATGCATTTTCATGTATAAAAATAATATATACGAATATTATCACTTATTATATACCTACATGTATAGTGACAAAGACAACGCTATAGAATTACAAACTAAAAATAAAGTAAAATGTATACTAACTGATGTTTGTCATGAGAAGGATAGAAAAAAAGAAGCCAAGCTTAAAAAGCGTCATATTTTGAATACTATTTCAGGCTTTGTAAAAGTTTCTCAGTGAGCTACTCCATTTGTTCTCCAAGGGTGTATATTTATAGTCTTACTTGTGCTGGCTTCCCTTTTCTATATTAAAAAAAGATACAATTTATAGTTTAGAGAGAACGTTGTGAATGAGACTAAATCCGCATAGTTAATTGAAACACTGTAATAAAGAAATAATATAGCACTTGCCTAAATTAAGGATGATAATGATGTGACCTAATTTCAAAAAGTTATTTTAAAAGATGCACGAATTTATGCATTTTATTATGTATATTGATAAAAATACATACGGACACACACAAACATATATTCACACATATATACATACATACAAGCACAACTATATTTCAATGAATATTGCTTATAAAGTAAGTGCCCCTCTTTGACTGGAAACACGAAGCGTTTTCAGACAAAGAATGACTAGACAGATTTTTTGACCCGACCCTTATTTGGAGAGACTAAAACTAAGAGTAAAGGGGAATGTGACCGAGCCCTGATATCTGAGCTGCCTACATATCCTTGGCTATAAAGGAATCAGGCCACGTGTAGTTCAGATGTGAGTGAGGTGATGGAGTATACCGAGGTGAAGAGCCGGTCGAGGTGCCGTTCCGTCGAGGTTCCGGTCCGCGGTCCTGTTATTACATCAAAAAATCAAAACATGAAAAAGACTAGCTAAGCCTGTCAACTACAAGTTACAAGATTCCTATCTATAAGTCTTCTGAAGCTTGATCTTGAGTCTTGAATGGTTCTTCATGCAGACTTTGGATCTGAACTTTGATGCTAGATAGTTGCAGGTGCTAATTCATTCTTCCTCAGCTTTTCGGACCAAACTCGGACACCACACCATGCTTGTGACTCCAATCATGTCTTAAGCAATTCACATCTTTCTCTACTTTTGCATTTGGATTCGTTTTTGCCTTCTTTTTGTTTTTCCTCTTCTTTTATTATTTTGGATTGTGACCAATTTCCTCTGGTCGTCTCAAACTGTTGACTCGCATTCTTTCCGCAAGCCTCTTTTGTTGTTGACTTGAATTGTAATCTGAGATGTTTGCCCTTTTTCCAGGTGATGCCTGACTGCTGAACTCGAAATGTATTCCTCTGTTCTTCAGGCGGGCTCCTGACTGCTAAAACTTGAATGTATTCCTCTGTTCTTCAGGCGGGCTCCTAACTGCTGACTTGAAATGTATTCCTCTGTTCTTCAGGCGGGCTCCTGACTTCAACAAAAATAGACAAAACAAAGAAAATTTTCTGCCCCAGTTTGGTGGCTGGGCATCATATTACCATATATTAAGAATTTGAAAACTAAAACTTGAATTGTAATACCTCTGTTCTCCAGGCGGGCTCCTGTCTGCTGAAACTTAAAATGTATGCCTCTGTTCTCCAGGCGGGCTCCTGATTGCTGAAACATGAAATGTGTGCCTCTGTTCTCCAGGCGGGCTCCTGACTTCAACAAAATAGACAAAAACAAAGAAAATCTATTGCCCCAGTTTGGTGACTGGGCATCATATTACCAGATATTAATAAGAATTTGAAAACTAAAACTTGAAATGTATGCCTCTGTTCTCCAGGCGGGCTCCTGACTGCTGAAACTTGAAATGTATGCCTCTGTTCTCCAGGCGGGCTCCTGATTGCTGAACTTGAAAAGCATTCCCTTGTTCTCCAGGTGGGCTCCTGACTGCAACAAAACAAACAAAGAAAATTTTCTGCCCCAGTTTGGTGACTGGGTACAGCATGTTATCAAATATTAAAAATTAAAAGCTAAAATTTGAATTGCACTTCCCTCGTTCTTCAGGTGGGTTCCTGACTGCTGAAACTTGAAAAGCATTCCCTTGTTCTCCAGGTGGGCTCCTGATTGCTGAACTTGAAAAGTATTCCCTTGTTCTCCAGGTGGGCTCCTGACTGCAACAAAACAAACAAAGAAAATTTTCTGCCCCAGTTTGGTAGCTGGGTACATGGGTAAGTGTTAAACTGAATTATTCTACCAACTATTATAAGAATTTGAAAGCTAAGTCCTATTATCCAGGGAGGTCCTGACAACTTCTAATAATTATGAACCTAAGTTATATCCTCTAGAGGTATTACCCCCACTACATTTGTTGTCTAAAAGGTCTTAAACTACTCCCCATTATCCAGGTGGGTCCTGACAACTTCTAGTTAAACGATAGTTTTAACCTAAGTTATATCTACTGAAGGTACGACTCCCACTATATCTTGTTATCTAAACAAACTTTAAAGCTACATCCCATTATCCAGGAGGGTCCTGAAAACTCCTAATTGAATCCTATCTTAAACGTGCAAACTTTGAAACCAACTTATATTCCTATTTATGCTAAATTATGCTACTCATGATTGTTTTGAAATTTAAACTAAGTCCCATTCTCCAGGAGGGTCCTGAGAGNNTTCATCAGACTAGGTTTTCTATCTTAGGAGAACAATTCATCGGACTAAGATTTAGATCCTAGGAGAAAGTTTATCAGACTAGGTAACTATTTTTTGTTATCTTAGGAGAAAGATTCATCAGACTAAGAAATTGATCCTAGGAGAAAGATTCATCAGACTAGGTTTTCTATCTTAGGAGAACAATCCATCAGACTAAGATTGTGACCCTAGGAGAAAATTCATCAGACTAGGTTGTCTATCTTAGGAGAACAAATCATCAGACTAAGTTTTCTATCTTAGGAGAACAATTCATCAGACTAAGATTGTGATCCTAGGAGAAAATTCATCAGACTAGGTTGTCTATCTTAGGAGAACAAATCATCAGACTAAGATGTCGACCCTAGGAGAAAGTTCATCAGACTAGGTTTTCTATCTTAGGAGAAAGATTCATCGGACTAAGATGTTGATCCTAGGAGAAGATTCATCAGACTAGGTCCATTTTCATTATCTTAGGAGAAAGATCATCGGACTAAGATTTTGATTTGGAGAAAAATCCATCAGACTAGGACTTTTCATCCTAGGAGGAGAAAATGTGAAAAGCAATGGCAGCATTTTATGCACGCTAACAAGACAGGCAAGGGTGAAGATTTGAGAAACTTCCCTTTTGTCGGCTCTCCTCTTCTTCCTTTTCTTTTCTTTCTTTTCTTTTTTTTTTCTTATTGTTGAACCAACTTTCTTGCACTGCTTTGTTTCATGTTTCAAACAAAGAAAACTTGTGAGTTTAAAATGTGGTGGTTAGTTTGTGGCCTTGAACTTTGAGGCCGGCTGCTTCTGCATTTGCCAAGATGACTTATTTCCACCCGAAGACCTTGCTTGTTCCCAATATCCTCTACTTGTTGCATTGCATGAACTGGCATTCCCCCAATCCTTATGTCTCATATGAATCCCAAGCACTTCTATTGCTCCCACTTTGTGTACATGATGTTCTTTCTTGACTTAATCACTGGCCTCGGCCTTGAAGTTGTATTGTTCCTTCACTTGCCTTGATAACCGATTCTCACTTGGAGACCTTGCTAACCACTTTCCTTAACGCAGAAAATACCTCTGATCCGTTCACCAAGCACCCTCCATCTGATATGTATCAATACCTTTGATCCATTCTCCCCAAACCCTTCATTTGTTGCGTTGTTCATGAATTGACAAATACCAAGCCCTTGCATTTCACAAGGATCCCAAGGCATGTAGATTGTTGCCAACTCAGTGTGCCTGCTGTTTTTCCAGACTTATGACGATTTGATTTGCTAGCCAGATCCTGTTTTGTTCAATTGGAAAGCTGGTGGCAGATTTTGAAGTCATTTCTCACTTGTTATGATCGAATTGACTCAGAATGAGGAAATAAACAAGACGAAAGGAACAGAGTAGAGGACAATGGAAAGAGATGATTCCTAACAAGAAAACTACAACGTAGAAACCTATCGGATATGGACACCGACTCTGATGACCTTGACATGCATCTGCAGCCTATTCTGTTAAGCAAATCTGATGTTCAGCTCTTGTTGTACCTTTTCGCCATGAAACTGGGCTTTCATGGCGATCTGATTCACAATCCTTATTCGACTTGTAGTGCCCGAAGGATTTTCACCATCAAGCCTCTCTCATGTTGGGTCTTTCTCTCATCTCACCATCGCCTTATGGTGCCCGTGAAGGTTTTCACCAATAAGACTCTCTCATTTTTGATTTCTCTCAGCTTGCATCGCCTTGTGGTATCCGTGAGGGCATTTCTCATCAAGACTCTCTCATTCTTCATTTCCCTTGTTTGGACCGGCGTGTTGCCCCTGATATGGTTCACCTCTACTCGCTTGACCCGGCATCTCTCGAAGATTGATCAGAAGGTCTTTCTTTGGACCGTAATGCAGGCTTTTGGACAGGGTTAGGAAGAAAGGGTATCAAAGGCTCAAAACAATTCAACATGGGCTCAAAATTACAACTTTCGAAATCAGATTTCTCACAACAACCACAACTTCTGCCACAGTTTCTTCCTTGGGGACTTTGGACTTTTATTTCGGTGTGACTGAACCTCAGAGAGAGGCTGCCTACGTACCCTTTCGGGAATTAGGTCAAACGTAGTTCATGTCATAAAACTACGTTGGTTGTTGCGATCTTTCCTTTTCTTCCACTTTTCTTTTCTTTTTTTTCCTTCTTCATTTTCTCTTTTTGTTGTTTTGTTTTTTTTTCTTTTTCTTTTTTTTTCTTTTTCTTCTCTTTTCTCTTCCTTTTTTTCTTTTCTTCTTCCTTTTTCCTTCTCTCTCTTTTCATTCTTTCCTTTTCTCTTTTTCCTTTACTTATCTTTTACGCTGGTGTTTCTGATCTTTGCTACTGATTCCGAAAGAGGGGTACGAAAGAAAACCAATAAGGCTCAAAGGGGTAACGAGGGATAAAGTGTTCAGATAGCAGAATAAAATGCCTTCGTCATTCCAATCTTCAAAGCACGCCAAATACAAACAACACAATTAAACAAACCAAAGAAATCATACATAATATCTTCTGGCTACATCAGGATTGATAACCATATCCACACATTTGCATTCTACATCTGTTAAATACAAAGCACCACTGGACAACACTCGTTACCACAAACG